TATAAATCAATTAATAACAAACACAGTGAAAATGATAATAATATAATAACAGCTGGGGATATTAACACCCCACTTACGGCAATGGACAGATTATCTAAGCAGAAAATAAACAAGGAAACAATGGCTTTGAGTGACACACTGGACAAGAGGGACTAAACAGATATATTCAGAACATTTCATCCTAAAGCAGGAGAATAAACAAATTCTTTTCGAGTGTACATGGAACATTCTCCAGAACAGATTGCATACTGGATCAAAAATCAGGCTTCAACAAGTACGAAAAGATTGAGATCATACCATGCATAGTTTCAGAACACAACGCAATGAAACTTGAAGTCAACCACAAGACAAAATTTGGAAAGACAACAAATACATGGAGGTTAAAGAACATCCTATTAAAGAAAGAATGACTTAACCAGGAAATTAAAGAAATAAAAAAAATACATGGAAACAAAGAAATGAAAACACGACAGTCCAAAACATTTCGGATACAGTAAAGGTGGTCCTAAGAGGGAAGTATATGGCAATATAGGCCTACCTCAAGAAGGACTAAAGTCTCAAATGCACAAACTAATCTTATACATAAAGGGGCTAGAAAAAGAACAGCAAATAAATCATAAAGCCAGCAGAAGAAGGGAAATAATAAAGATCAGAGCAGAAATAAACCATATTAAAAAAATCAGTAGAACAGATCAACGAAACTAAGAGCTGGTACTTTGAAAGAAGTAATAAAATTGATAAACCCTAGTCAGACTTATCAAAAAGAAAAAAGACTCAAATAAATAAAATCATGAATGAGAGAGGAGAGATCACAACCAACACAAAGAAACACAAACAATTTTAAGAGAGGATTATGAAAAATTATATGCCAACAAACTGGGCAATATGGAAGAAATGAACAAATAACGAGAAACATACAAAATTTCTAAACTGAAACAGGAACAATTAGAAAATTTGAACAGACCCATAACCAGCGAACAAATTGAATCAGTAATCAAAAATTTCCCAGCAAACAAAATGCAGAGCCAGATGGCTTCCCAGTAGATTTATACCAGACATTTAAAGTAGAGTTCGTACCTATTCTTCTCAAACTGTTCCAAAAAGTAGAAATGGAAGGAAAGCTTCCAAACTTATTCTACAAAGCCAGCATTAACTTGATTCCAAAACCAAAGACCCCACCAAAAAGGAGAATTACAGGCCAATATCCCTGATGAACGTGGATGCAAAAATTCTCAACAAGATACTAGCAAATCACATCCAACAGTATATTAAAAGAATTATTCACCACAATCAAGTGGGATTTATTCCTGGGCTGCAGGGGTGTTCCATATTAGCAAAATGATCAATGTGATACACCACCTTAATAAAAGAAAGGATAAGAGCCATATGATTCTCTCAATAGACGCAGAAAAAGCATTTCACAAAATGCAGCATCAATTTTTGATAAAAACCCTCTACCATGTAGGGATAGGGACAACATACCTCAGCACATCATAAAAGCAATACACAGAAGATGCACAGTAAATATCATCCTCAATAGGGAAATTCTGAGAGCTTTTCCTCTACAGTCAGGAAGAAGACAGGGATGTCCACTCTCCCCGCTGTTGTTTAACAGAGTACTGAAAGTCTTAGCCTCAGCAATCAGACAACAAAAAGAAATAAAAAGCATCCAAATTGGCAAGGAAGAAGTCAAACTTTTACTATTTGCAGATGACATGTCACTCTATGTAGAACACCCAAAAGACTCCACCAAAAAATTGTTAGAACTAAATATATCAATTCAGCAACGCCACAGGTTAAATAAAATCAGCATACAGAAATCTGTTGCATTTCTATACTCCAATTATGAAGCAGCAGAAAGAGAAATCAAGGAACGAATCCCATTTATAATTGCACCAAAAACCATAAGATACCTAGGAATAAATCTAACCAAAGAGGTAAAAAATTTGTACCCTGAAAACTATAGAACACTTATGAAAGAAACTGAAAAGGACACAAAGAAGTCGAAAAACATTCCATGATCAAGGATTGGAAGAACAAACATTTTTAAAATGTTTATACTACCGAAAGCAATCAACACATTTAAGGCAATTCCTATCAAAATACCACCAGCATTTTTCAGAGTTAGAACAAACAATCCTAAAATTTGTATGGAAACACAATACACTCCAAATAGCCAAAGCAATCCTGAAAAAGAACAGCAAAGCTGGAGGCCTCACGATTCCAGACTTCAAGCTATATTACAGCTTTCAAACGACATTACAAAGCTGTAGTCATCAAGACAGTATGGTACTGACACAAAGACAGATACACAGATCAATGGAACAGAATAGAAAACCAAGAAATGGACCCACAACTATATGGTCAATTAATCTTGACAAAGCAAGAATATCCAATGGAAAAAAAGTCTTGGGGTGCTTGGGTGGCTCAGTTGGTTGGGTGTCCAACTCTTGAGTCTGGCTCAGGTCATGATCTCAGGGTCATGATATCAAGCCCCCGTGTCAGGCTCCATGTGTAGGTCCTGCTTGAGATTCTCTCTCTCCCTCTGCCCCTCCCTCCTTGCTAGCACTCCCATTCCAAAAAAAAAAGAAAGAAAAAGAAAAAAAGACAGTCTCTTCAACAAATGATGTTGAGAAAACTGGACAACCACATGCAGAAGAATGGACCAGTTTTTTACACCATACACAAAAATAAACTCAAAATGGATGAACAACCCTTAATGTGAGACAGGAAACCATCAAAATCCTAGAGGAGATCACAGCAGAAACCTCTCTGACCTGGCTGTAGCAACTTGTTACTAGACATGTCTACATGTCTCCAGAGGCAAGGGGAAAAAAAACAAAAATGAACTATTGGGACTTCATCAAGATAAAAACCTTCTGCACAGCAAAGGAAACAATCCAGAAAACTAAAATGCAGCCTCCAAAATCAGAGAAGATAACTGCAAATGACATATCTGATAAAAGGTTAGTATCCAAAATCTATAAAGAACTAATCAAACTCAACACCCAAAAAACAAACAACACAGTTAAGAAATGGGCAGAAGACATGAACAGACATGTTTCCAAAGAAGACATACAGATGGCTAACAGGCACATGAAAAGATACTCAACATCATTCATCATCAGGGAAATACAAATCAAAACCACTTCACATCTGTCAAAATGGCTAAAATCAACAACACAAGAAACATCAGGAGTCGGCAAGGATGGAGTAAAAGGAACACTCCTGAACTGTTGGTGGGAATCCAAACTGGTGCAGCCACTCTGGAAAACAATATGGAGGTTCTTCACCAAATTAAAAATAGAACAGCCCCACAACCCAGCAACTGCACTACTAAGTATTTACCCAAAGGATACAAATATATAGATTTGAAAGGGTACATGCACCCCAGTGTTTATAACAGCATTATCAACAGCAGTCAAAACATGGAAAGAGCCCAAAAGTCTATCGATATATAAATGCACACACATACACACACACACCACATCTCCTTTATATACACATCTATCTCTATCTATCTATCTATCTATCTATCTACCTACCTACCTACCTACCTATCTATATCTGCATGGATGCAAGAGAAAAACGAAAATAGAGGAAGAGGGACAAGCCAGGAAACAGACTCTTAACTACTGAGAACAAATTTACGGTTACCAGAGGGGAGGTTGGTGGGGGATAGGTGAAATAGCTGAAGGGGATTAAGGAGTACACTTGTTGTGATGAGCAAAGGGTGTTGCGTGGCAGTGTTGAATCACTGTCTTGTACACCTGAAACTAATATAACACTGTATGCTAACTATACCAGAATTGAAAGTAAATAATAAAAAAATAAATACTGTAAACCAACAGATTAGAAATGAGAGGTGACAGGAGAACACTGTAAAACTCCTATCAGGTTTGTTACTCAGTGACAGGTTTTATAAAAAATTAAGATAGAGGAGGTAGCTGAAATTAGAGACTAAACTCTGATTTTAAATTAGATAATCTATACACAATAGAAAGAGCTTGGACTTGTATTAGGAAAATCTAGGCTATGAATATGTCTACTACTCATAAGCTATATGATTTTGGGCAAGTTACTTAGGCTTCCGGTGTTTCAGTCTGTTCATTATGCAATAATTATAATTACATATGCACAAGAGTTTTTTGTTTTGTTTTGCCTTTTGGGTGAGAATTAAATAACATATGATATTTATAGCTCTTTATATCACAGTAGGCATAATGTAAAGGGCAGATATTATCATTATTTTCTACTTCCTTATCTCTGAATTGGTCCTATTTCCTTTGCAATAAAACAATGGGTAGTACCATTCACACTGTACAGACAATCCTGTATTACCCAGTGACTGGTGAGTTTATGTGAATACACTCCTAAAATGGTATTAAACACTCTGTTACCTTCTCAATGATTACAGTAAAACCATAGTAGTATTTGCCTAGAAAGTATAATTGTCACTATTTGGTCTCACAAAGTATCAATTGCCAGTATCTAATATTAAAAAAGTTTTTAGTATTATGATTAGTGTTATTTTACTATTTCATTCTGAATGTTCTCCTAATATCTAAACTAAATAATAGTGATGATGGAAGCTAAGACTGATAGGGGTAAATAGCACAAGAAATGGAAAGCCAGTATTTCTTCTATGTAGATACGACTCATACTTATAGCTTGTAAATTGATAGAATCTGGAAAGGCACATTTTTCTCCACCTAATTACAAAGCTCACATTTACAAAGTGATACTAAATGCTTCACTCACCCAACCCACCAGTGTTACTCCACACAACCATATGCAAAGATTGGTATTATAAACAATGCGACAACTAGAAAAAGTCCCAAGTACCCGAGTATCTCACAATCTAAAAAGATATATAGACTACAGATATGAGAAAGAAAAAACATTTATGAAGAAAGCACATAAGTTCAAACTACTCCTAATAATACGATAACATTATTTAAGGAAAGAATGAAAACAAAATTGAATTATTTCAAACAAACCTGAGGTGGATTCTGATTTTGTCTTTGTTTCAGAGCTGAGTTCTGTTGTCAAGGGCACTGAGTATTTCAGGCTGTCAGTTGTTTTTGCAGGTATTTCTATTTCAGCAGAATTTCCTAGCTGTTTACCAAAAAGATTTTTCCTTCATAAGTAAATCATTTTGCTAAAACAAAACATCTTAAAAACGTATAGTATGCAAAGATATTATGTTCCTTCATCTCCTTTCATTCTATCCTTGACCTCTGTTCAGGGCTCCCATTATAAGCCAATCCCCCACCCCAACCAACAAAACTAAATGTCTACCTTTTTGGTCCATTTAAACTCTACCTTAGATTTTTCTTTAGGTTTAGGAAATGACTCTTTTTTGTTGATTTTTGTCCACAATGATTTAACTGCTTCATAAATTTGCTGGCTTGTAGTATATGCCTTTTTCCCAGTTACCTAATTAAAACAAGAAGTGAGTCAAATAAGATATATTTTTAAAAGTCAAAATAACAAATATTAAAAAAAATTATGTCAGGTATTTTATGTGAACACTCAGGTCAGAATCAATAGTAAAGATATAAATCTCTAGATCATATAACAGAAAACCCCATTTTCTAAATCTTATATGAAAAATTATTTGCCTCATGTAAAAGGCTAAAAAAATGTATAGTTAGTATAACACCAACAGTGAATCCTAAAGTAACTATGACTTTGGGTGATAATGTGTCAATGTAGGCTCATCAATTGCAACATATGTACCACCCTAATGGGGGATGTTGAAAAGGGATGTTGATAATGGAGGATGCTGAGCATGTGTGGGAACAGGGGGTGTATGGGAAATCTCTGTACCTTCTGCTTAATTTTGTTGTGAACCTAAAACTGCTCTTAGAAAAATAAATTCTTAAAAGTGTATAGTTTGCATTCACACTGTAATATGTGAATTTAAAACTATGTTTATTTAACAGAAGTTTGGGAAAGACAGCTTGAGATAATAAACAGAAAATAAGATTTTAAGATGCTATGAAGTTAATACTTTTGTTCAAATTTTCTGGTGTTTTCTCCTGTCATAAAGTATTAATGTATTTCTCCAGAGAATAATACTCTCTTTTGGTAGAAACATAAAATACAAATGAACTACAAACACACCAAAGCAGAGGCAAGGATGGTGAGTGAATTCCTGAAGCTGCTCTTACTTTCATTCATATCTCTTTCCCTTTAAAAACTCTCCTTATTCCTTCTTTCTGTTCTTTCCCCATCTTTTTGTTCCTTATGGCTAAAGTAATTTCAATAGCTATTGACTTTTCAAGTTTTAAAGAGGTTTTGGAAGCTTTCCAGGATTGTACTTTTTATAAACATGAACTTATAAAACTTGTAAAAACTGTGACTTTCTTGCTTAAAATAGAATTTTTTTGCTAAGTATATACTTACAATTAAGAAAAATAAATCAAACCACTAATATAAAGGAAGTCTTCTTCCTCCCCACAATGTAACTTTGGTCACAGCTGTGTGGCTATTCTTCCTGAGATTTTCCTTATATGTGCATTAGATACACACACACATTTTAAAACAAATGGAATGTTGATACTTATATACCTCTACCAAAAAGGATGAGGTAGATTTTAGATTTATATGCACTGATATGGATTTCCATGAACCACTGAATTGAAAAGACGAGATTAGAGAACAGATTCTACACTACAATCTCAATTATGTTTTAAATTAAATTTTAAAATAAACTACACACATATACACTTAGCTTGTTTTTTTAAAAACACAAATAGGATCACACTATACAGAGTGAGATTTGATAGTTTAAAAGCTTAATAATTTGTCAGAGATGTTTCCATATCAGTTTATATACCTGTAGATCTGCTTCTTTTATAATAGCTGCACAGTTAGTATTCTACAATGGATATGCCACAGTTAGTTTAATAAATCCCCTATTTTGGGTAATATGGGATGTTTCCCTTTTTTGGGCAATTATAAGCATGCTGTGATTAGCATTCTTACACATACAATTGGGACCACACATCTTTGTGGTATTTCCTGGTACAAATTCCTGGATGTGAAATACCTGGATTAAAGATTATATACATTTTAATTTTTGATAATATTGCCACATTGCCTCCATAAAGTCAGCAATACACTGTAGTAATTTATACTCCCACCAAAAATGTGTTTTCCTACCCCATTTACCAGAAGCAGTATTACTATGAGTCTTTTAAATCTTCATCAAATTGAAAGACTAATCTCTAAATTTGCATTTATTTGATTGCTGATAAAGTTAACCAACCTTCATATTAGGCCATTTATGTTTCTTATTTTGTGGACTGCTTGTTTGTTTACTTTCATTTTCTTAGACAGCCTTTATCTTTTTCCTATCAATTTATAGGAAGGCCATTATTCAGTCCTTTGTTATAGATGTTGCAAATAGTTTTCCCAGTTTTAATTTACCCATTAACTTTGTAAATGTTATATTGTGATCAGAAGAAATGTATTTATTTTGATGTAGTAAAATACATTAATTTTTTTGATGGTTTCTGGATTGTGTTTTGCTTAAGAGGGCCCTTCCTATCTCAACATTACAGAGGTATTTACCTTCTTTCTTCTAATATTTTTATAGTATTATATTTTATGATTAGATCTTAAGTCCACCTGAAATTTATTTTTGCAAGGTCTAAGATTTTTTTTTCCAAAAAGCCAATTATTCCAACACATGTCTGGAATAACCAATCCATCCTTTCTTTACACGCTGATCTGAAATGCCACCTTTGTGCTCGCTTCGGCAGCACATATACTAAAATTGAAATGCCACCTTTACTATACCTTCCCCTTACCCCACAATATATACAAAGACATACTTGATGTATTTGTTTTTGGATATTCTCTTTTGTTTTTTTTGTTTTTGTTTTTTTGTGGTCTATTTTATTGTCTATGCTAGCATAGTTACCAATACATGGTAAATAGACAACAAATACTGGTTGAATGAATGTCATACTCCCTACAAATCGAAGAATTCTGTTAAGAACTAAATTAAACTTCTAAATTTGGGAATATATGCTATATTCCAATATTCAGTCCTTTCATCTAGAAACAAGATATATCTCTAAATGTATTCAAATTTTTTAAAAATGCCTTTCACTGAAGTTTAATCATTTTTTTCTTTTTAAATTTTATTGTTATGTTATGTTAATCACCATACATTCCATCATTAGTTTTTGATGTAGTGTTCCATGATTCATTGTTCGCATATAACACCCAGTGCTCCACGCAGAATGTGCCCTCTTTAATACCCATCACCAGGCTAACCCATCCCCCACCCCCCTCCCCTCTAGAACCCTCAGTTTGTTTCTCAGAGTCCATAGTCTCTCATGGTTCATCTCCCCCTCCAATTCCCCCTCCTTCATTTTTCCCTTCCTACTATAGATTAATAGTTTTTAATAAATAGATCTTAGAACATTATTTGATAAGTTTATTCCTAGGTATTTTATAGTTTTCAAAGACAGATTACTTGATACTCTTTATTAAAGTTAATAATGAAAACAGTGGAGGAAAACAATAAAAAGCAAAAAGTAATCCCATCTTGAAATATATTTCCAAAATGGTGAATAACTGGAATGTGACTTATTTTTCAAAGAGCCTTCTAGACTACCATTTTGTGATTTTTTTTATGTCAAAGACCTCTTGGAGAATCTCCTGAAAGGTACGGGCCCTTTCCTTAAGAAACTACCCATATAGCAGAAGAGCTCTCATTTGATATCCTTTTAAGACACTTGTCTGATTAAGTAAAGGTGTCTTAAAAATGTATAATAAATGATGTTCATAGAATGCTGAATATTCATCGAAAGCAGGTACTCTCAAATATATCTAAGTACTGTCTTTCACAAGTGATTTGTGCACTTACCAAGAATCAGTTGTATTTATTTCTAAGTCTCTATATCAGTTTTACTATAATTAAAAAAAATAAATGTAACATAATAGGATGAAATATGAGTGTGAAGAGAATTGTTGTCTACAGGAAAATTAAGTTAAATGCTTTGTAAAGACTAAAAAATGATTTACCAAACTACTGTTAAATTAGAGGTGGGCAAGTCAACTGTTAAAGGCTGGGAGAAATAATAACAATTTAAGAGGATTCTGCACTCATATTATTTTAAAAATGTTTTTAAGTGTTCATTCTATTTAAAGGAAATCTAAACTGAAAACAGTAGAAGACATACTACAGATAATGGCTAACTATAAGATAGATGCCATGATCTTCAACTAGGAGACCCATACTCATAGAAAATACCTACTTCAAAAGAGAGAAAAATGGATACACATTTATGTTATAATTTGAAATAAAATATTTAAGGTCCATATTTATGACTTTTAAAAACTTTCCACTTTAACATTTTTAATTAATTGTTAACTACTGGTCCCAATAATACCAAATTAGAAGGTATCTATTGTATATATAAAATTTTTCATAGTTTCATGTGGTGGAGTCACTCCTAAGCCTATCATGGATCTCAGGTTAAGAATCCATGTTATATATATATATATATATATATATATATAAAAATCCAGCAGCTATTACACATGGCATTGTTATATGCCAAAGGAAAAGCAAGGGTCTCAACTCTAGGAATTTCAGTAACAATCAGTATTTAACCATAGAAAAACTTTCAGGATTCGCATATTAATATCTCTTTTATCATAGAAATTTTTATTTGAAGTTCAAGAATTCTTCTATTTTCCTTCTGTTAGAGTAAAATTAAGTTTAATACTTTATTCTTAAAATTAAAAATAAGATGTATACTATAATATTATCCTGTTATTATGAAACTATATCTGCCTATTCACCCATCTATCTTTCTACCTCTATATATGCATAAAGAAATGTCTAGACAACATTCTACCAAATGTTAACACTGATATTTTTTGGCATGAAAGAATTCCAGATGGTTAATTGTTTTTTTTCCTATACTTTTCTATAATGCTTAAATTATTTAAGGATGAATAGTTACCAATTTTATTTAAAAAAACATTAAGGCATTACTCTAAACAAACAAAAAGATTCAGTGGCAGCATTACATACTGAGAAGAGAAATGGACAGGGAAACAGAAGACAACCCTGGACAAAATCAGTCACTGTGAAACTTCTCTGGGCCACAGTTTTCTTATCAGTAAATGAGAAAATGAGGAAGTTGAATGTAATAAACTCGGAAGTTTCTTTCAGCATGAATATGATATGAATTGAAGTGCCTAATTCCTATATAAATTCTCAGGAAAGATTTATAAAAAATAAGTTGATCATTTTGGACCAAGTGTCTCAACTATAACTAGATTTAATGAATAATGCTCTCTTTGCTATAAACTTTTATAGCTTCATCACATTACAAACTACATAGGGCACTATATCCTTGTCATTCTTAAAATACTGAGTAGGCAGTTTTATCTACATCAATAATTAGGGAGATGTAGTAATGAGAATCCAAGTACAGAAAATTCTTCTGGTAACACTACACAGTGCTTCAAGTGTGAGGGGGAAATGTTAAGTGTTGGTAATTAAGAAAAGAAGGAAAGGAAGAAAATACTGCATTACCCAAAGCTCTCCTTCTCAATCTGAATAAGTATTAAAAGTAAAATACTGGCACAAACTGTTCAAATCATTAGGAGAATGTTTGGATTTGTAGGTAAGCTCGTAAGAAAATGACAAAACAGCTATAATACGGACTCATGGAAAATGTTACTTAGTTCTAGGTGGTATCAAAATTGAATTTGTATATATGATTTTTTTTTTTACCTTCAGAAGCCTCTGTTATCTACCAATTTGCTGATTCTTATACTAATCTGATGAACTGACAGCATCCAGCAGGTATAATTTTCTGTTAATTAAAAACTGAATTTCACATAGCTCAGCAATGGAGTGGTATTTCTCCCCATAAATTCTAATTCTGTGTCTCTGAACTCAATCCTCAAAGCAGCATTTATATTTTTGAATTATATTTCAACAAATTTATCCTATTTGTGATGATCATGTAATTAAGAATGGCATTTACCATGCTGAAATGTAATGTGATTTTGCCAAAGTAAGAGTTGATGCTCACTTTATTTCTCTGGAAATTAAATGTTGCAGATACTTAGGACATTTAAATATTGTCACACTAAGAGTTTAAACAAATACTGAAATGTAGCTATCTAAAAGGAACTTACCTTTGCAATTATTACTGACTGAACTGGGTAGCAAACAGTTGCTCCTAAAGTGGCCAGTCCCAGTGGATAAGCAATTTTCTTAAACCTAGAACCTATGAAATTCAAACAAACTATTAAACTCCAAACAGATGCTAGCAGAGACTTGATGTTTTTATAACTTTAATGTTCTCTTTGTTCCCTTTCAAGTCATTACCCTATGTCAATTTATTCTTTAGATAATAATACTAATCAAAATGGTAGCTAAAAAATCCTTAAGGATCACAATTCAACTAATACCTCTTAGTTGTCATGTCCAATTTTAGAAAAGTATTCTCAATTTAAAATTGATAATTAGCTACACAAAGGGAGTTGATGATTTTCTTCTTTTTTAAAACTAGATATTTTTTTCATGTCCTAAGAAACTCAAAGTTGTAAGCACATTTTTTTTTCAAGTATCTAATAGGGCATGGTAATATAAAGAATTGATCAACTACTATACTTGTGACACCATGTTAAAGCGATATGGACTCTCTTTACATATTCTGTTTTGATTAAGTCCTCAGGAACATGAAAGATCCAACTAACTAATCAGTTAAGGACTTTAAAAGGTATATAACTCTTTCATGTCACTGATTTAAAATACAGAAGTAATAATTTAATAACTGCAGTAACTTGAGATAATGTATGCATTTCCAAAAGTTCCTAAACTAAGAGACATTTTCAAACTTCTTCAAGATGTATTTATTTTAGAGAGAGAAAAAGAGAGAGAGTACAAGCAAGGGGAGGGACAGAATAAAAAGGAGAGAAGCAGACTCCACCTCCCTCTCCCCACCTCCCCCCTTCCAGGGCTCAATCCCCCAACCCTGAGATCATGACCTGACCCAAAATAAAGTCAGACACTTAACTAACTGAGCTAACCAGGCGCCCCCAAACTTTTTTTTTTACAGCAAAATCCTTAAAAAAAAATCTTCCAAATACAGTCTCACTAGTAACTTCATATAGCCATAGCTTAGGTCCAACAGACCACTGGTTCAAAACAATATGTATCTTAAATGCTTGATTGGGTACCTTGGACTCTGTAAATATGAGCTGGGCATTTAGATGATGGGATTTCTAGTTGGGGTAAGTACTTTTATTCTCTGAAACAGCTCTTACAACCCTTACTTTAAAAATGGAACAGCCTATTTGATATATCAGTAAAGACTAAGGTGAAAAGTAACTGGCGATGTTTGCAGGCAATGTTAATGAAAGATAAAAAGATAGAAACAAGAGCTATTTATTTCTGTGTCTGGTTTACCTATTCATAAGGAGGCCTACAGTCTACAAGACTGAGCTTGGTAGAGGTGGGCAGGTAGGCTGCTTCAATCTCTAATTTAGCTTTCCTTTGGTTTTAGACTAGTTTGTGTGGTTCTGTGAAAGAGGGTCTAGATCTGTTAAAACATATCATAAGTTAGGAAAAAAAACATGTCTTAAGTTGCTCCTTTACTCAAGTCCTGCTCACTATTATTCTAGTATCTATAGTTTGATTCTTGATTTTACTGACCTAACATCTCTTAATGCAAGTTTCCTTGACTCAGCCAAATTCCCCTAATTGTGCTGCTTCTAACCTTGGAAAGTAGCATTTTTTTTTCTTGATGTGTCATTTTAAATATTAAAAAAAAAGACTTACATTCATCTTCTCTTTACGTGCTATGAGGGGCCAGTCTAACAAAATATAAATTTCATTTGGATTCAATAGCCCTACTCCCATAAGTAGGAAAGGACTCTAGACACAGCCACTAACAAGTTATGTACTATGAAATCACTGAGTGATTGCCCTTCTCTGGACCTCTATATGTAGCTAATGGGGTTAGACTAAATCAACAGCTTTCAAACATTTTTTGACCATGACTCAGAATAAATTTTACAATATGACCTATGACCTATCTTACACAGACACACATACGCTCCATGGAAAGAAAACTTTCACACTATTTACCCATACTAAGTACAGAACACTCTGATATTTTTTGTTCTCCTCTATTTTATTTTTTTAATAAAATGTCTCCTGAGATTCATGCTTATTTATTCACTATGCTTATTTCATTACCTAATAGGTTGAGATCTCTATTTGAAAAACAGTAGGTTATATTATTCTAGCTCTGACATTTAGAAACAATGTGAATGACCTAAGAAACATATTCTTTTGCAAGTGGATTATGAGTTTCTTACTGAAAATTGATTAGTATGTTCTTCTTTGAGTCTTATATGCTACATAGAGTGATCTTGGTTTTCATTTTTTTTCCTAAAAAGTAATTTATAATACGTATCCAAGTGAAAGTTGCTCACAGTGTTAGAATTAAAAATGGGATATCAGTAGCCATTAATATTAGCTATAGGGAGAGTGTTAGATCTATTGGGATGAGATATATGGGCTAGAGTTAGAATGTTGGAATGTTCTTATAATTCACAAAGGTTTTGTATCTGATTGGGTATACTTGAGTTGAGACTACCTTAAGGACTAAAACTGGGCAAACCAACCATAAGGTATCTGATATCTGATTCCAGTCAGAGCTGTGACTTTGAAACACATGTAATTTAGTTTGGGAACAATGATTGGCAACTGAGTTGTGGATAGAAGATGAATGGAAGGTGACCAAAATGGCTACTAACCAGAGAACTGTACCAGTTTAGTAAGGACTTCAGTGAGGAAGAGAGGCAGTAATGCCTACTGAGAATTTCCATACTCAGAAGTAGAAGATGGGAAAATACAAAATTCGCCATGTATTTACAAAAGACAGTTATATAATAGTGTGCAGAAAAGAGTTCACATAGTATCTCAAGACTGCCATTATTAGAAAGTCCTGCTTGCAAGGTTCGCACTTGGTTGGAATCTGGGGACTTCTCTGGTAAACAGTTCCATACAATGATAGAAAACATTCTCTGAATGATAAGAGTGAAGCACTGTGCTTAAACTGTTGAAAGAATATGGTTTATGCTGAGCAATTACTTTCCTTCTAGTCTGGAATTCTGGACATGCTAGAGAGAGTGTGTTTATGTGATCAGCTGCTAGTACTAACCTTGACTGCTCAGTCTCTAATGAGCTTCCTTGGCTGACAGCATCCTACATGTATTATCATAATTCATTAGTGGAAGAATTAAGTACATCTTATATGACTCCACTGGAAGAAGATCCTTAGAAGCTTGTACCTGGTTTCTTACAAGCTTTGCCCCATTTGCCTTTTCCCTTTTCTTATTTTACTTTGCAATCTTTCACAGTAATAAGGCCTATGACTACAGGTTGAGTCTTCTAAGTTGTCCTACTTAACCATCAAACACGCGGGTAGTCTTGGGGACCCTCTACAAAAGTGGTAGAGTGAGAGGGAATGACAAAGTTCGTAGAGATACAGGATAAAAAGAGAGAAAAAAGAAATCAAGCATATCAAGCCTCATGTGCTGAATGAGAGTAATGAGTTGTCTACTTTTGCAAATTCCATTCTGAGGTGGCTGATGTCGGTTCTAGCAACCTTGGTCAGGATGAGATGATGAGAGAATAAAATATTTTTCTGATACCAGCATCTCTATCTCAAATCCTTAATATAGCCCCAGAATATGAATGGTCATCAGAAAGCAGAGAAAACAAGTTTGAGTGGTTAGCATACATTTTAACATTAACATAAAATTCCCAAAGTCTTTTTTTTTTTTTGATAGCTAGAGACTGTGAAAATGTTTACATATTTTTCTTTTCTTTAAAGATTTTATTTATTTCTCTGAGAGAGAGAGAGAGCATGAGCAGTGGGGAGGGGCAGTGGGAGAGGGAGCAGGAGACTCCCCGCTGAGCAGGGAGCCTGACACAGGGCTCGATCCCAGGATCCCAGGATCATGATGTAAGCCAAAGGCAGATGCTTAACCAACTGAGCCACCCAGGCACCCTTGAAAATCTTGTTTAAAAAGGAGTAGAGGAAGATGGTGGTAGAGTAGGAAGACGCTAGGCTTGCCTTATCCCACGAACACAAATAGATAACTATTAAATAATCCTAAATACTCCAGAAATTGACCTGAAGACTGGCAGAGAAACCTCCACAATTAAAGGGAAAGAAAAGGCCATATCAAAGAAGGTAGGAAGTGTGGGGATGTGGTTTAGGGGAGAAATCGATCCTAGCTGCTGCAGAGGAGAGGGAGCCATGGTCTAGAGAAGGGTGAGACAGAAAAGAACACACAGGGAAATGGACAAGAAGGCTTCCCCAAAGCCAATGGCTTGGAGAATGAGAGGGACTGAATTTTGTTGAGTTCTATCAACCAGTAGGGCTTAACACCTGGAGATTTAAAGATCAGCAGGCTTGGCTGGGATAGTCTGGAGGATACTGTCCAGTTCCTGGAGAGAAGGCAGGTAAACAACGCAGGAGGGCAGAAAGTATGGGAACAGTGATCTGAAGAGGGCCTGGGGCACAGAGTGGGGAGATTATCTGCACTTCTCAGAGTGCATCTCTGAGAGGCAACATTCAGATAGATAGCACTCCAGGAACAAAGGAGCTGGCCAGCACCATTTTCATCCTCTGCCTTTCGGCGTAAGTACACAGCTAGTGGCAGGAAGTAGTGCAGCACCAACACTACTTACCTAACTTATATACAACAAGCCCTAACCCCTGCACACTGGTGAAGCTGCTCTTTTCAGACATGCTTGCCTGAGTCCCACCATGGTGGGACCCTCCCCCAGAAGACCAGCAGAAACCCCCTACCCACACCACATCTACCAACCAGTGAGTTCTACAGGGCTTCAGTTCTGGTGGAGGTGGTGACAGGTCTCATTTCACAAGCATACCAGAGCACACCTAATTTAAACTTGCCATATTCAGGCCAGGGACCAAAACCTCCAAGAGCAGCCAAAGAGCCACTGCACATGACTGGCCTAAAGGACAGAGCAGCCAAAACACAAGAGCAGAGTACACGCAGCACATACTGGAGATACACCCTAAAGGGCCAGGCCATGGGAACTACATGGCCTCTTCCTCATAAGGCCATTACTCTCAGGAGTAGAAGAATGACTGTCTTTTTTTTTCTTTTTTTTAAATTAATTTATTTGAGAGAGAGAACAAATGTGAGAGGGGGAAGGGGCAGAGGGAGAGGGAGAGAG